TAACCAATCAGTTTATTACTCAGCACAAACGATTAGTATGGAGAGTCTAAAAAGTATAAATGAGGTAAAAAATAGATAGTTATTTTTTATATATTATAAATTTAACAACCTATTTTTTTCTAGGATAACATTATGATTAATATTGAAGAAGAAAATCCTGAGGACCAGCATGCAACTATCCAACAAATGTTAGAAGTAGTTGGTGAAAAAAATATAGTTAAAGCATGGTTAATTAAAGTCAGAAATGCATTAGCTGCAAAACATTTTATTGTACTATTAAAAAACAATACACATCTTTGTTCATGTCTAACTATTATTCGACAAAGAATTATTTGTAGACACTACTTTCAAGTAATGCTAAACACTAATATGGCAAAGTTTCATATTCATCTCATTCCATCTAGATAGTACTATAAAAATATAGATGCTTCAAAAAAAACATTTATTATGGCTGACAAATATGAAAGTGAAGAAGTATCTGATTATGATATTCCATATCTTTCTCCTTTTTATAATCAAGAAAAAGACTTTTTACAGGAAAATTTTAGTCTTCTTGAACAAAAATTAGTCTACGGAACATTATATAGTATTTACAAAAAGGCAATAAGTAAAGCATTACAGTCTAAATCTGAGTCAGATTGCCTTTTAAAGCTATTGGAGGATTTTGTTCAGGAGTGCGACCAATCAGAAGATAGTTCTAGCAATGATAATCACTCAGATGAATCTACAAGTGAAAAAAAGTTTCAACTAAAAAACTCTAAGCGGCGACAAGGCAGAGGACGACCTCCAGGTACCAAGAAAATTAAAGCATCACATGAAAATCCTGGTACTACCAAAAAAAAAGAACTTGCAAAAAATGCGGTGGTATTAGATACTATCAAAAAAATTGTACAGTTGGTACTTAAAAATTTTTACTTTTTTCTATATTATCGTTGAAGGTATAATAGATAGATAATTCTACTAAGACAATGTTAAAGAAAATTACTTAAATTTTTAGGTCTATAATAATTAAAAGCGAAGATCTTAATGATGTAAGTTATCTATTTACTATTAGTCTTTATTACCTTTAGTATAAGTGCGGTCATTGATCTTTAGTACTAATTATTGTATAGTCTATAAACTTGTTACATTCTAATTAATATTTAACAGAAATAGCCATTCACTGAGGTATTACTATAACTTACTGCAAATTTGTTAGCAAGAATCGTTGACGTTTATTACTTAAGCATTAATAAACTTTTCTATTACGTTT